CGTATTTGGTTTATTCTCTTTTCAAACTGGGGGATCCAAATTAGTACCTGGATCATCCCATCTTGCATGTGTGTATCCCCCTCCAGTCAGTGACATCACTACTCAAAAGGGATGCCCCTTCCTGAAGATCGGTGCCCCTTTCCTCCGGTGCACAAGTGTTGCATGAAAGTGCGTTTTTTTACCTATCAAACAACATGCTTCAGCTTCACCAAAAGGAACATGAGTGTCACACTGAGTTAAATCTCGTTTTGTAGCTTCTCTTTGTCAGAGTTTGCCTCCTTTTCTTCATGCAGTCAGTACGTATTAATATTAATGAGGGGCAACTATGGGCGTTTGAAGGGTCGGACATGGAGCTCCCTCAAATGCGCCACATTTCAAGTTGATTGTGATTTATAAAGGGAACTTGCTTACACCTGTGCGTACGCACGGTTTTATAAGTTTGACTAGTTTTTGACGAACGCCATTTTTGGCTTTTGGGCGCACGTACACTTTTAGTGAGGTTTTATAAATGAGAAATTGAAGCAGCTAAATGGAATTCAGCCATCATTAATTTTAATTTATACCTGTGTTTTTATTAATGTGATAGGTGTTTTCACTTGACTGATCAGGAGTCTCATTTATACAACTGTACGTAGAAAAGACTCTAAAGGTTGCGTTTGTACAAAACGCAGGAAGTGCGTACAAACAAAAATATGCCGATTTCCATTTATAAATCACAATCAACTTGAAATGTGGCGTATGTGAGCAAGCTCCTTGTCCAGCCCTTTAAAGTCCATAGTTCCCTATAAATGGTCAGTGAAACACCCCTCATTAATATTAATATGTACTGACTGCATGATGACAAGGGTGACAAATTTTGACAGAAAAGCTACAAAACAGAAATTTAAGTCAGTGTGCCACTGACGTTTCTTTTGGTGAAGCTGAAGCATGTTTTTTGGTGGGTAAGACGTGCACATACAGGCGAAACTTGAAAAATTAGCATATCGTGCAAAAGTTCATTTATTTCAGTAATTCAACTGAAAAGGTGAAACTAATATATTATATAGACTCATTACATGCAAAGTGAGACTGTGAGAATTTCAAGCCTTTATTTGATATAATTTTGATGATTATGGCTTATAGCTTATGAAAACCCCAAATTCAAAATCTCAGAAAATTAGAATATTGTGAAAAGGTTCAGTATTGTAGGCTCAAAGTGTCACTCTAATCAGCTAATTAATCCAAAAAACCTGCAAAGGGTTCCTGAGCCTTTAATTGGTCTCTCAGTCTGGTTCAGTGGAATTCACAATCATGGGGAAGACTGCTGACCTGACAGTTGTGCAGAAAACCATCATTGACACCCTCCACAAGGAGGGAAAGCCTCAAAAGGTAATTGCTAAAGAAGTTGGATGTTCTCAAAGTGCTGTATCAAGGCACATTAATAGAAAGTTAAGTGGAAGGGAAAAGTGTGGAATAAAAAGGTGCACAAGCAGCAGCAGGGATGACCGTAGCCTGGAGAGGATTGTCAGGTAAAGACCATTCAAATGTGTGGGGGAGCTTCACAAGGAGTGGACTGAGGCTGGAGTTACTGCGTCAAGAGCCACCACACACATACGGGTCCTGGACATGGGCTTCAAATGTCGTATTCCTCTTGTCAAGCTGCTCCTGAACAACAAACAACGTCAGAAGCGTCTTAACTGGGCTAAAGAAAAAAAGTTTCTCAGTGGTCCAAAGTCCTCTTTTCTGATGAGAGCAAATTTTGCATCTCATTTGGAAACCAAGGTCCCAGAGTCTGGAGGAAGAATGGAGAGGCACACAATCCAAGATGCTTGAAGTCCAGTGTGAAGTTTCCACAGTCTGTGTTGGTTTGGGGAGCCATGTTATCTGCTGGTGTTGGTCCACTGTGCTTTATTAAGTCCAGAGTCAGCGCAGCCGTCTACCAGGACATTTTAGAGCACTTTATGCTTCCTTCAGCAGACGAGCTTTATGGAGATGCTGACTTCAATCTTCCAGCAGGACTTGGCACCTGCCCACACTGCCAAAAGTACCAAAACCTGGTTCAATGACCATGAGATTACTGTGCTTGATTGGCCAGCAAATTCGCCTGACCTGAACCCCATAGAGAATCTATGGGGCATTGCCAAGAGAAAGATGAAAGACATGAGAACCGAACAATGCAGAAGAGCTGAAGGCCGCTATTGAAGCATCCTGGTCTTCCATAACACCTCAGCAGTGCCACAGGCTGATAGCATCCATACCACGCCGCATTGAGGCAGAAATTCATGCAAAAGGGGCCCAAACCAAGTACTGATTACATATGCATGATTATACTTTTCAGAGGGCTGACATTTCTGTATTTAAAATCCTTTTTTTTATTGATTTCATGTAATATTCTAATTTTCTGAGATTTTGAATTTGGGGTTTTCATAATCTGTACGCAATAATCATCGAAATTATTTCAAATAAAGGCTTGAAATATCTCACTTTGCATGTAATGAGTCTATATAATATATTAGTTTCACCTTTTCAGTTGAATTACTGAAATAAATGAACTTTTGCACGATATGCTAATTTTTCAATCCTTGTGCACTAGAGGTTATAACCGATCCGCAGGAAGGTGCATCTCTCCTGAGTAATGACGGTGGTGGAGGGGGACACGTACGGTATACAAGATGGGATCACCCAGGTACTAATTCCGTCGTTTGAAAAGAGAGTAAACCAAATGCATTCCACTTTATTTACACAATGATGATGATAAATGAAAGGTTAACATACTAGATGGAAAAGAAAGGATATATAGCCAAATACCAAAGTGGCTTTAGGAAAGGAAGAAATACAATGGATCCAGCTGTATGAAATTAGAAAAGCACAAGTAAACAGAGAAAATGTAGTGGCTGTCTTCTTTGACATAGAGAAGGGATACGAAATGATGTGGAGAGAAGGATTGTTAATTAGACTGTCTCAATTAGGTATCAAAGGACGAATATATAGATGGATTAAGGACTTTTTTACAAGGGAGATTAATACAAGTTAGAATAGGAATTTTCAAGAAAATATATTGTTGAGAACGGAACACCTCAAGGGAGCATAATAAGTCCTTTATTATTCTCCATAATAATTGCTGATGTTTTCAGGGAAATAGAGAATGGGGTGGGGTTTTCACTTTTTGCAGATGACAGGGCGATTTGGAAGAGGGGAAGAAATCTGAAATTTATTGTAAAAAAGCTACAGAAAGCTATTACGGAAATAGAGGAGTGGTCATATAAATGGTGTTTTAAATTCTCAGTAGATAAGACAAAGACAATGTTTTTTACAAAGAAAAGAATTGGTACTGAGGTAAAACTAAAGTTATATCATCAGGAATTGGAAAGTGAAACACTTGTAAGTTTTTAGGGTTATGGTTTGATGAGGGAATAACATGGGGTGTACATATCCAGAAAGTACTGGACAAATATAGGAAGGTGTTAAATGAGGTGTTTGGTGGGAAGTGATTGGGGGGCTGACAGAACAGCACTGAAGGCAATTTACTGTGGATTAATTAGATCAGTACTGGATTATGGTTGTGTGGTGTATGGATCTGCATCAAGCACATCTCTAAAAAAGTTAGACAACATTCAGTTTCAGGCTTTGAGATTATGCACAGGGGCATTTAAAACAACTCCAACAGGTTGGGTTGAGAAGAATACAGCTATCTCTGAACTATTGGGTTAATTTACAGGGCCATATGGAAGATCATCCAGCACAAAGCACTTTAAAATCTTGTTGGGAAAAGGAGAGGAGGGAGACAAAAAGCAACAGAGTTAGAATTAACTGATTTAAAATTCAGTCCAACAGTACCACTGCCAGCAGTACCACCTTGGGTACTACCTGAAACCTCATTTTACATTATTAGAAAAGAAAAACAAGGACAGGGGGGTTATTTTGAATTCAGGCATATATTAATAGTTACCATAGTTACATCCAGATCTACACAGATGCATCAAAGAGTTTAGTTAACAAGATAGGAGTAGCTTTTATTGTTATATAGAGAGGAGGATCAGTGATAATGTATCAGTATACACAGGAGAAATGCTAGCAATCCTGTTAGCAGTGCAATGGATAGAGGAAATAAGACCATTGAGAGTGATTATTTGTTCAGATTTAACTTCATCACTAATCAGTTTACAGAGCAGTCACTCAGACAGCAGAGCAGACATTTTGATAGAAATACAGCAAACATTATATAGAATTAAAATGATGGGCATTGCAGTCATATTGTTGTGGGTGCCAGCACATATTGGAATCAAAGGAAATGAAATGGCAGATAAGGCTGCAAAGGAGGCCACGAAAAGAGAAGACATTGATGTGGCAGACAGCATCAGTAAGATGGAAATAAAGAGCATTATTAAACAGAAGCTGAAGAAAAGGTGGCAAAAGCAATGGGAGGAAGGGAGGAAAGGATGGTGGTTTTACATAATTCAGAGGAGAGTGGGAGAAATGCGATGTCCAGGAAGAAACATGAGAGAAGAGACACTTATATCAAGACTTAGATTTGGGCACACAGGATTAAACAGTACTTTATTCAAAATAGGTAAACATAACACCGGCTGGTGTGAATACTGTGAGCAACAAGAGACAATCAAACACATCATGGTACACTGTAAGAAGTATGAGAGAAAACCGAGGGAAATTATCCAAAATCTTAGAATGGAAAGAATACATTTTGATTTAATAGAAATTATTAGAAAGAACTAAAGAGATAAGTGCTATGGAATTGTTTTTCATTATCTTAGATTAGTCAATATGATTGAGAGGATCTGAGTCTTATTTTTGTTTTGTTGATTTTGTTTTGCTTTGTTTTGTTTGGTATAAAATAAGTAGTAGTCATTCAGATCCACACTCCATACCAGTTGGTGGCGGTAATGCACCATTTCGTTGTGTGCCAACCGCCAATAAAATTGCATAAAGAAGAAGAAGAAGAAGAAGAAGAAGAAGAAGAAAAAAACAGGAAGTTGCGCCTTACGTGGTCTTGCGTTGTGACGCAGTACGTAAATAAGTTGATCAAGCTCCTGCTGCTTAGTCGGAAGGTTGTTTGTCATCATTTAGCTCCCTCAGTATATTATTGACCACGCTACATACAAAGTCTTGGAGATAAAAAAAAAAACAGAATTGACAGTGTATATGACACGCAAGGATATGACATCTGACTTTGTAACGTAACTACAAAGTAATCCTCGTGTGGATAACAAACCGAGGCGTTAGTTAGCCAGCTAACAGAGGTTAGCGCCACAAATTTCCACACCGAGTGACGTCCAGTCTCACTTTCTCTTCCATTTCGTCTTCATCTGTGGTCGGCCTTTAGATTCTGTCACCAAGTTCAGTTCGTGGTCTCGCCAGGAGAGGATGAACTGGCTCTTCCCCCTGTCCAAAGGCTCTGGACCGATCCCTCCGCTAAACAGCCTACAGCAACAAAGACAGCGGCAGATCGAGTCACTCAAAGCCGCTCACCCCAGGTAACGTGAACGGCAACCGGTAAACCAGACCCTGGTGCTGCAGATTATCTTTTTAACATTAATGGGTTTTCAAACTCGGAGTATGGATAATGTTTCCTGGCAACCTTACTGAACATGTTGATTGAGTGCACACACTGCTCATGTTTACTTAGCATAGCTAGCCACCTGACTCACAATTGAGTCAAAAGAAGTAAAGTTACGTTAGGCTAACAACTAGCTTGTAGGCTTTTTAGCACATATTTATCCCCGTGATTCTGTAAGTATGTCGAAATGCCACACGAGTCACACGATTTTATGTGAATCCACAACTAGCTAGATGTGATTTGCCAGGGCGCTGTGTTAGCTGTCTAGCTAATCAAGTCAGCCAGTGTCTATTTTTAGGGACGATGACACAAGTTGTAGCTGGCCTCCCAGGTCCTGTGATCATTCCAGTGTTTGCCACGCCAACTTGTCACGCACGTCGTTTTAGGAGGAGGAGCTAGCTAATTAGATATGGAGATTAAAGTATTAGCGTAGTATTAAAGTACTTTACTTTATTGGAATTGCAGAGGCCCAGTGTCTAATGTGCTGTGGTGAACACTTTTCATGGCATGGCAGTGATGTTAAGGAGTAAGTGGATGGGAAAAGAAAATTCATACTTTTTGAAGATTGTGTAAAGGAGTGGATGTGAGGCATGGGCTTCTTGACATCCAGCATGATTTATTGTAAGGCCTGTTGTGCAAGGTACAGATTGTTTCAATACCTGATGTTCATTTTGGGACCAGTGTCAACATTGCTAGCAATTGATTTTCTTTGCAATTGAAACAAACTCTTTGAAGTGATGACTGCAGTAAACAGTATAGCAGTACAGTTATTGTATACAGTAATAGTAGCGGAATACATTACATATATATCATTATGTAGTATATGTAACATTCAACATATACATTACCTATATATATACTGGAATCGATGAACCTGTTGTTCAGCTATCAACTGCCTAGAAATCTGTTCTGTTTCATAACACTATACAGCATGTTTAATCACTAACCCACAAAAAGGGACAGTTCATTTGCTGTTCCTCTTTATGTTGTTTGAAGTTAAGTTTTTTGGTGAAAATATGCATTAAAGTCCTCTCTTTATCAATTTTCTCTCTTTTTTCAAACTAGCTGAATTTTCATAAACATTGATAGATGACATATAATATGTTTTCTAAATGTGCTGGCTATACTACGTATGCAAGATTTCAGATCATGACAATCCTGTGCTACTGTTTTCCAACAGCCTCGCAGAGATCCAGAAGGATGTGGAATACAGAATACCATTCACAGTCAACAACTCCACCATTAATGTTAACATGTGAGTACATCTTTGTACATACAGTCACAGTAGCAGAGTATCAAAAGCAGGCAGTGGGCTGGCTTCATTGTCACTCTGTTACCTCAGCCACTTACGTGGTTGGAAAACTAATTAACCACATGACACGCTTGTCAGTGAATTTGTTCTTTTTTTATAGCTTACATAATCATACATGTAGTTGAAATTACAAAAACATGGAATGGTAAATTCACGAGGTTGAACTACTATTGTTTTACTCATTTTTATTTATTTTTAACAAATATATAGACATGCAATAATCACATCTAATGCGCAAAAGAGCATAAGGATTTGAAAGTGTTGTGCTAACTACTCACAAATCACAATGGCAGCGCAGAATGTTAAAAGAGGAGGCGACCGTGGCACTCCACTGATGAAACTAAACCTAAAGAAATACTAGCATTACACAAGAAACCAGAGAAAGGCAGTAACAAATGCAAGAGAAGGCACTTGGCAACTAAAACAACTTATTCTTTAGTCCCCACAGCATAAACTGGTGAAATGTATTTGCTCACAAGAGGTGTTAGTGAACACCTTTACCATATTCCCTCCAATGGTGTTACGGCCTCCAATTGTAACACTTGTGAAGCCTCAGAGAAAATAGGGCTCTGGGTTATTTAGGGACAAACAAATAAATCTTGCAATACCACAATTACATTATTCATGTAAATTGCAATATGTCAGATTATGTTATATATCCTGTTCCTGGGATTCCTGAAAGCTGAATGTACTTTTTCTTCTCTTTCCTCTAGTCTGCTGCCTCCTCAGTTCCCCCAGGAGAACCCGGTGGTTAGTGTCTACCCCCCTGTTGGTCATCATTTAGTCGATGGCAATAATGGTACCATGATCACTAGCCCCCTCATCACTAATGTAAGTAGTTGTCCAAGTCTTTTGATTTTGGTTGATGTAAGCTAGGGGGTTACCAATTTGGTTCCTTGAAGGGGTTCAAGGAAATCAAGGGGTGTTTTCCCATGATCTGTGAACATTCAATAAAAGCAACCATCTGCCAGTTGGCTAGCCGGGTAGATGGCTGTGTTGCATGCTAATGTGCACACTAAAACTGATGTCTGTTTCTTTTGTCATGTTGAGAAATTGTCAATAGTACTGCTGACAGTGACATGATCTGTCTTGTTGTGAGTTTACCGCATCGTTAACAATAACCTTATTTCCTGGTGTCCTTACTTGTTGATAGAAACCCAGTAGATAAAACACAGCACAGGGACAGTAGCACTGTGGAAGCTGTAGGACAGGCTGAAAGGAAAGACCATTACTCAAAGCTGGATCCAAAATGATTAAATCTCACATCTGACTCAAATGGAAACTGAAAGTCAGAGTAAGGTGGTTTCACCAGACAAAAGTAGGTCTTTTTTAGGTCTGTCTAATTTCCCCGCACCTGACTAATACTTTTGTACAGTACTGTAGACAGTATACTCAAAAAAACTTGATCGTAACAGAGATACTAGTGTGCATGGAAACATATTCATAAAATATGCCAGCCTTAGTTCAAAACATATGTGGGGGGGGTTTCACAGTAATCAAACAAATGCCTTCTCCTGATTTTTCCCAAAAGCCTGGTTTCTTGTGTGCATGCAAATATAGTGTTGCTCAGCTGTATTAACACCCACTTGTCAGTATCGTTTTCTTTTTTCTTTCCATGCCCCTTTCTTCTCCATTAAGATTAAAATTCACTTATTTAATTAAACTTTTGTTATCTGATGCTTAATTCTATAAGTCAAATTATTCTCTCTTTCCTTTAAGTATTTGTCTTGTTGTGTATGTTGTAGTTTGGGATGCACTCAGATCTGGGGAAGGTAATTCAGAGTCTGCTAGATGAGTTCTGGAAGAGTCCTCCTGCCTTGATGTCAGCTGGCACTACTGGATTTCCATAGTGAGTGTCCTCTTACTTTCATGGACACTAGTCTTGCAGTACTTTGTCATTACAACAGAAAATGAAGGTGTTCTACAACCTGCATCTAATTTAATGAAATAATCTTGTGTGTTTAACAGCAGTATGTACAAGCCATCAGGCATCGCTCCTTACCCCACTCAGGCTTTCCACTATGGTCCTCGCCATGTGGGCTCCAGTCACACAGCGCCTGCTGGTCCAGGCCCAGGGGTCGATAGTGCCCATGGGCCCCCCCGAGCTCCAGCCCCATATGGACTGATTTCTGACCTACCGCTGCCTGTTCCTACTGGAGACTCACAGGTACACAGAAAATGATTATAACACACAGAGGACCTTGATATGAGCTGTTTTTGTTTTTAAGAAGTGAAATAAATATGAAGTGTTACCCTGTAAATGCTTTTCATGAGACTAGCTTTTACTCTAACAGGGCTCAAGGTTAAACCTTTTTGCAACTGGCCCCACTGGGCCAGTGGGTTTGAAACCTACTGGCCTGAAGGCAAATTTTTACTGTCCCTCCTTCCAAAAGTTATTTATCAGTTTCACAACAAAACCAAAGACTTATAAAAACTGTTAACATGTTTAATCGGTTATTAAATACATCCTGAATTTTAAAAAAATTAACTAAAATGTTATCACAGTTAAAATTATAAAAAATTAAAAAGGTTAACAAAACAATTTACTTTTAAAACAAAACACACTAACAGACTCAAACATGACGTGCTGTCTCACCTGCTTACAGCCATTTAATAAAAAACTTTATGCAGCACAGCGGATACAAGTCGCCTCTACCCTGATTGACAGGTTGCCATGGTAGCGACATGTGAGTCACAAGGTAGTCCCGCCCAAAAGCATACGCTGCTATCTGGTCTATTTTCCCCCTAAACAGGACCATAATTTACTAAATGAACATCATGTTGTGTTGAAGACGACTTGAAACTAGCAACTTAGAACATAATCTCGTTAGGAAAGTGTTTACTGAGGTAATAAATCAGCTGAGAAGTAGGGTAATTTTACCATTATTTCAAATGGAACCAGACTCTTTTTTTGCAACCAGCGGACTCGCCCCCTGCTGGCCATTAGAGAGAATGCAGGTTTGAGTTCCATTTCACTTTTCAGACCCAGAGTTTGCCGCTTGATTAGATAAATAACATTTGACAACCACTCGTCACGTCACTAAAACTCTTGATTGGCCAACGGTGGTGCCATGAGCTGCAAAACAACTGCAGGATGGTGAGTTTCTAATGCAATTTTTTTGTTTTTGTTTTTTAACACTAATGTTTTTGGTGAGTTGCTAGTTCAACAGTCCCAATGTTACTTTTTTCTGGCCCCGGGCCATTGGACCATCGTTGTTGTGGAGCCCTGCTTTAAAATATCTTTCCCTGCAGCTGATTGGCCAGGTTTAGACAAATGTAGTTTTGACATAGAGATACATTCATTGAAGACTGTGACTCACGTATATTAACGCTGTCTGTTTCAGGCTGGACTGAACGGTCACATGTACAGGATGCCTGAGATTCCTGAGTCTTTTCCTGAACTCTGTGACATGAAGTAAAGTATTCCAAAATGTTGTCGACCTAAAATCTCATAATGTGTTTTTGGGTCAAACATTCTTTGTTCTCCTGCTCTCTGATCACCTTCTGCTCTACCCCATCCTAGTCTGACCCAGTTGTCAAACATGTCTGAAAACGAGGATGTGCTACTGGAGTTCTTTGTGAGTTTGCCTCAACTCAAACAGGTCACCAGTGATAAAGAAGAGCTGGTCACCAATATAGTGGACATTGCTAGTAAGTTCCTCTGAACCAAAAGTCATGATGGTCACTCATGAAAGAGAAGTTTAAATTTAGTTGAGCTTTATAAGTTTATATGTTTGTCATTTACAGAGAAAAACCTTCAGATGGAGCCACAGCTGGAAGACAAAAGACAAGAAATGCTCCACAAGGTTAGATGTTACATCCCATGTATTGTTCTCTCTCTCTCTCACTCACTCACTCACTCACTCACTCACTCACTCAAACAGACACACACAACAAGCACATTCATGCTATTGTCTAGCAGCTTTTGATGTGTGTTTTTGTCTGTTGACAGTATGAACAGCTGACTCAGATGAAGTTGGCCTTTGAGACAAGGATGCAGAGACAGCATGAACTCAGTGAGGTAGGAGGCTACACTCATCACACTTTGATAATAGGTTTTAAGTGCTGATGTACTTTTTTGGATTAAAGCTGCTGATAGACTGTTTTTAGTCCTGGTTTTTAGAACAGTTTTACCATTTTGATGACTCGAAACTGAACATTTTGGGTTGTTCCTTGAATTGTAGGAGCCCAAACAAATCTAGCTGTGTTTTGAGGATCCTTTTCTCTTGTGAGATGTGATTATGCTCCCCTCCACTGAAAATGTTTCTCTGTTTCTTACTTTTGTCTCTTATCCCCCCTCTAGAGTTGTAGTCTTAGTACTCTACAGGCTCGGTTAAAAGTTGCAGCCCACCAGGCTGAAGAGGAGTCGGAGGAGATAGCCGAAAACTTCCTGGAGGGACGCACAGACATTGACGAATTCCTGACCAGCTTCATGGAGAAGAGAACTGTGAGAAAGCCAGAAGTGCAGTATTTGTATAAAGACTGTGATATACTGTCTTGGCTGGATGTGCACTATATAACATCTTAAGATGAAAGGTGCATTGACTGGTTTTGTGGTGTTCCACAGCTTTGCCACAGCCGAAGGGCCAAAGAGGAAAAGCTCCAGTCCATCAACACACATGGACTGTATCCTACCAGCCACTAGAACACAAGGTACAAGACACATAAACAGATGACAAGTGTAAATACACAAGACTGTAACACTCGGACAATTCTTTGTGTCTATAGCCACATTTTTACCAATAGTACCCGGGACCTTTTAGTCCCCAGATCTCTTTTCAAGGAACTAAAAGGTTCCTTCAGCCCATTGTTGTGTGCGTTTCCAACATGCTTTAAAGACCTGTGAAGATTAGGCAAATTAACCAGCTGACATATACGCTGTACAAAGCGATGGACTGGCATCATAATTTAGTAACCACTATCCATGAGCAAAATATAAGTGAACATCAGATTTGATTGGAGTATTATGAAAAACTATAGGCTTTGCTTGACCATTAAAAACAGCTTTTCTTGTGTGGGAGTATAAGGGAGAGACACACAATAAAGATTGTTACAAACTGGTTAAAGCCATCAAGTTCTTAAAATAACTCAGCGCAGAGAAAGAAACGCAAGCAGTTTGGAAGGTTATTAAAATATTTCCAGCCGACAAGAGCTGCAGGTCAGCTGGCAGCTGACAGTCTGTGTCCGCCGAGCTTTATTACCTCCTGTAATCAGCTGTTCTGTTTGTTTTGGAGAAGAGGAGACCGATTTTGGCTCCGTGTAGAAACCTTGTGACTGAAAAACAGCTGACATGCTCGATTTAAATCCAGTAGCCTCTACTCGCCCATTCAGAAATTCACTGCAAGGCAACCCCCCAAAGTAACGATACATTCTGAAAGTACTACCTCCCAAGCAGGGACTATTTGAGGGGTAAAATAAAGACCCTAGAACTAAATTTAGACCCTCCGGTGGAAATGTAAGGTGCCTAGTTCTGGGGTATAGTTCCTTTGGTCGAAACGCGGCTTTTATGGAGGGAAGCTGGTGGTTCTCAGCTGACAGCTTTATAACAGGCTGTCCTCGTGTTTTTTTTTTGTTTACAGCTAAACCTCCCTCCATTTTTATCAGGGAAAAAAATTCATATAATCGTCTGTTCATTCTGCTTCTTACCTCTTATCTTACATTTGGTTCGCAGGTTTGGTGTTTTCTCAGCCAACTGCTGCCAACTAAAAGGATAAAGACATTTAAGGCGATGAAAGCACACTGAGTCAACAATGGGCACTTTGGAGAAATAGGAAGACAGTGATTTCAGTGATGGGCTAAAAAAAAGAATCCCACTGTGCCTATATCTGGGCTAGAAAAAACAGCTGTTGAAGTTGGATTGTGGGAGAGGAAGACGGAGAAGCTATTGAGTCGCCACAAGAGGCCACAACTAGAAGAATGAGTGACACATGTCTAACTTTTCCAACCACTTTACTAAGGATTGATCATATTGTGGATATTTTCTATTGCACATGCTGTTTATTCAGTTTTGACTTGGCAGTAACGACATTTCTTTCCAGAATTTATTTCACAACACCTGCACCTGATCAGAGTGGTTGGTGATGTGAACATATTTGGAAGAAAGTACAAAATGTTTAGGACAGTTTGCCCAATCTTACACTTTCCCCACACAGTGAGCAAGTAAATGTCACTATGAAATAGTAGTTAAAATGCTAACGTTGGTGTCTGTGCTTTCAGATTGTTGTCAAGTCTTTACTTTGTAATCCCAGAAAGGTCCCAATTTTACTGGACAGACAGAGGAATAACATTTGCACTGCAAATCTCCTGTTTACATTGGAAAGACTGATCTAGACATTTACTTGAAACTCAGCACTGGCAGTGTCACTTCAGCAAGACAAGATAATCTCAAACATAAAAGAAGCGAGAACATGGCAGTGTTGTCAGGTGAGATTTAGCTTGGGCTGTTCAAATTTAAACTCACAGTTGTCAGTATTTTTTCTTTCATTAAGTTGGTGGGTCTTGAACGCAGCGTCAATATCAGTGTGTTTGCACAAACATTAATTCGATTAAACTTGCCATGGTAATACTCTGGCTCTCGTATTGTTGGATACACCATAACACAGTTATCAGCTGTATGTCAAAGTCAGAGTCAACATCCAAATAATAAACCTGGTTTCTGCTCTCATTTTATTTTTTTCATTGCTGTATTAGGTTGTATTAGGTTTGGGGGGGGGGGGGGGGCGCTACCACAATCTATTTGACTTTAACAAACAAGTTATGTAAGCTGAGGTTATCGGGGAAACAGAGCACCGTAAACCACATAAACGGTTTAATCACAATATTACCACAATTCTATGCTTTTATTATTAATTGAGTTATTTGTGTACATGTAAACATGCTGATGAGGACCGTTATGATAACCCAGCTATTTTCTGACCCCATTTGAACTTTATATGTTTGATATGAAAAGCCTCAGAAGATTTGGGATAATGTTGAGGAACATTAGGTTAAATGCTGCAGTAAAACTCTGACATTGGATACTGTATTTAATGTTAATAGGCTATATTGTAATCAAAGGCTCAAGACACCTTGTATTATATGTTCTTATTTAATTTGTTAGAGTAATAAAGCATTTAGAATGAATCTCGTTTGCTGTTCTTGATGTTTGACAATCACCATTCTGACCATTTAATATTATAGCACAGAGACTGTAACACTGGATGCTTGATTATAACTATAATTCATTAAGTTCAGTATAAATACTGATAATGTCTTTACAAGCCAAATACCATGAACACTTTTATACTAGGTCCTCACCTGTGGAACAGCCTGCCACAGGAGCTGAGTGCATCACAATCTGTTAACACCCTCAAAATAAATTTAAAGATTTAGCCTTTAGCCCTTAATCCATGATATTTTAATCTACCCTCATCCACTGTGCTACACTGGCCTCTCTGTTCTACCATGTTTATTGTTTACTACATTATCATTTTACCATTTATTGTCTCTGTCTTATTGTGTTGTGCAACTTGTATTGCAATTTTGCACAAACGGTGCAATATAAATAAAGTTTGATTTGATTTTCACACTATTGCACATCAGCTTCAACCTTCACACTTAAGTTTCTCATTGTATCCCACAATATACCCCTGCTGAAAAATATCTGCAATGTGTCTTATGGTGACATTTAGCTGTAATTTAACAAAGATGAACGGTGATATCAAAAAAGTAATCACTACCTTAGAGGATGTAATTGTTTTAATATGGAAAAGCAGTTGCTGTCTTGTGTGTCCCTCTACCAAAGGGACATGTTCACACACCTTTAGAAGTCAAAGCACAGGTGCATTCCAGTTAATGGTGTTAACAGACATTGTCCAGCTTGAACACACAATGTCATCATATTCCCTTAACATGTAAAGCATATCTACTGCTGAGGATAGAGCTGAGAAAAAAACATGAACGTACATAAACTGTATTCACTGAACTGAAAATGTAACAGTTTTTAAAACAGACAAGAAGGTTTTACAGCGTTAATGTACCATTGTTACAACTTGTTCGAAAGTGTAACACTGGCACAAATGCAATAAGAGGAAACCAATTAGTAATAATTGACAGAATGAAGTTGGATTCATATTTTAATGACAAAGAGCAGCCCCTGACGTTGTCCTTAATCCATGACATTTTCTTTAAAAGACAAATACTCTTTTATACAGTCTATGGACATACTGTGGCCTGTAATTAAATTCAAATCCGCTTTATTGGCATTAATGTATAACAACAATATTGCTAAAGCTATAAATAAATAAATAAATTTAATAATATTCTCAGTTTCTCTGCCAACTTAAGTCTGGTTAAAAGGCTGAACATACAGTATAAACAGATTAAATAAACCACCACAACTACTGTCTCTGCTCCAATAAATCTGCTCAACACACACCTCTGTATAAGGCTGAACACAGACGATTTGCTGAAGCACACATGCACACAGGGCTGATAGGAAAATAATCATACTCAGCAGGTTTTATTGTTGTATGGAAAATTAAGCAAACACAAAAGAAGCCACTAAGCCTATACTCAGCAACAAAAGTCACAGCATTTCTGCAAGCCACTGAGTAAAACATGATTACGGATTACAAAGATGTTACTGGTCAAAGTTGCCGTTAATATATGTTTTGGGGTAATTCTTTATCAAGAGCCCCACCATTCACAACATGATTCCTCATTTCATCCCTCCATTTTTTTGGTGCAAATAGAAAAACAGCGTCTTACAAAATGATGGGATAAAAAAATGGGTTAATTATGATGTAATATTTCGAAACTGGAAGCTTCAAAAGTTTAATTTTATTGTTGAAAGTTTGAAGTCAAATAAATAAGATTTTTTAAGATTGAAAGCCAGTTTTGAAGGCTTGCATAATGTTTTGATAGGCTGAAAAAGAATTTGAAATTCATTTTGCATTTGAGCAGCAGTCTTTGTTTTTTTCAAGTGTTTCTCTGTTCTCCTGGTGTAAAAGTAAAGTTATTCTAATGTCTTTTTTAAATTTTCCATTTGAGTTTACATATGCAAATGGGTGGTAGATTTACTTCTCTCACCAGCCAAAAAAAACACAATGATAATCTATTGAGTGGCTGGTACACTTTGAGCAATCACCAGCTATTTGGCTGGTGGACAAAAAAAGTAACCTTTGCACCCTGCTGACAGAGAAAAAAGGATCACAAATTAGCACTGAAAAATGCTAAACAGATGCAGGGTCTTGATAGAGTAATGTGCTGTTTGACTTCGTTTATAAAAATGGCAAAGGAAGGTTTATGAATGTTGCTCAGTCTTGGCAGCTCATGGTTCGTGTTATGTGACATGGTGCCCACGATCGTTCCTCCGGAGCAGCAGGTGGCAGTAATTCACCAAACATGCCAGTTACCGGAAATGTGCCGCAAACTGAGGAGGAGGAGGAGGAGGAGGTGAAACAACCACAGGAGGCGCGCATTGCCGGAGAGGATCTGGTGAACCTGTTCTAATATTTATCAAAGAAGCTCGTCTTTACTAAGTCTTCAGACAACCGAGATCAACCGGTCACCGACAGAGTCTAACGTTACCCGTTGCAGCAGGTTAGCAAACAGTTAGCGGTTAGCTGACGTTGGGGTCGTTCAAACGTTAATTTTAAAGTAAGTTAGGTTTCCAACACAACGTTAACTAAAAGGTAAAAAAAGACAATTATCGCTGTAACGTTAATTGATTAAGTAGATTGATTAAGTCGATACGAAGTTACAGTCCATCGCTGATTTGCACCTTCAACACCGTTAACACATCAGTTAGCCACTAATGTATTGGTCCATCTTCATAATATCATGGACATGGAAAAACTGTTTGTTACATTAACGCTCACTTGATGGGGTCACTTCTCCTTCTGTAGGAGTTTGTTGTAAGCAATAAGAAGACTGCATAAGTATAAGTAAGAAGACTGAATAAGCGTCTGTGTTCTGCGTGTCCAGGTCAGTCCAGACTCCAGAGACATGACACGACAGATGGGGGACAGCCACAGGAGGTTCCTGCAGACCATGATGGCCAATGGCATCGTTGATGAGCAAGGGGCCAAGACACACTATCAGTATTGTTGTGAAACTTACAACAGTGAGTCATTTATATACATGCAGTCAGTCAGTGAAGTTGTTAATCCAGAGTAAGTCAAGAGTTTATCTCAGTGTCAGGAGACAGGATTCATAGCAGGTCAAGGCCTTGTGCAAATTCTTCATTGACAAGAAGAGCTTTAATGCTGGTGATATGTACACTTTAGGGATAATAATTTGTCCTTCAATTATTCCTGAAAATGTTAAATGAAAGCAGAAATTGAAACCTCCATAATAAAGATCTTTAAATGCTGAGTTGGAGCGCACAATAAAACAAATAGCATGCAGGAGATTTAGACAATTTCTTCTTTACTTACAATCTTACTGCCCATACTTCCTGTGTCATTTAACCCAATGAAATGAAAAAGACATATATTTTATTTTCCTATAAGAGAAATAACCTCTCTACCAAAATAACTTTATTTACACCTTGAACCAAAGTTGCCAGGTTGTTGGGTTTACTGGTCTTTATTGGGACAGGTATGCTTTGAAAGTCCTTCCAATATAACTGTCACCACCTTATTTTAGGAGGCAGAAGTGCAAATATTCACACACAAGTCCTAACAAACTGCCTTCCTTCCTTTGCCTTTTTTTTTTGTTTTTTTTCTGTTTTTTTTGCAGCACAGCACGCCCCTGACAAACTGGATGATTTCATTGAAACCATCAACTCAAAGCTACAGCCCATGTTCATGCAGATTAGAAAAGGGATGTCTGAAGACAATGGTCAGCAGTACTATGCCTTGGTTAGTGGGTATAAGTCCTTTACTTTCCTAACTAGTGGCTTTTTAAAGAAGTTTGATTGAGTCAAGGTAGTGAGTGCCACAGGACAAAAACCTGTGTGGTGACTATACACAGATCTCTGGGTATGAAACACATCTAGTTTCCTTTTGCCTGCAAGTTCCTGCAGAGTAGCTTCTCCTGTGTGCGTGGATCTGGAGGGGTGAACGGTCACTGGTGTGATTCATGTGGTGTCAGAATAATCAGAATCTTTTTTTACATTTTTAGTGCAAAAAGAGAAATAACGTGTACATGGGACATAAAGAAGTAAACAGAACTTTGATTTGTGCAAAATCACATATTGCATATACATATTTTGCTAACATGTAATCTGTAATATGATTATAACGTATGCTGTCCATGTTGGGTGAACTAGACGTCTGCGTATGCTCTGATAATCCAACACATATGTGTAGTAGTGTCCATGTTGATTCCACATTTCGAGTTAAGATCACATGAACATAGTCAGAAGAACAACTTCACAACTCGGGAAATGGGACCATCTGGGCAACACATGAATGCACTGTGAACTGCTGATTGCAATTTGCAACCCTCACCACTAGATGCCACTAAAACGTGCACACTGAACCTTTAATTTACCCTAAAGTAACAATGAATATCTGTTGTTATAAGATGATTATTTATGTACAAGCAGCCGCTGTATTTGGCTGCGAGACCTGTTTGGGAATCACGTGATGTTATGATCAGATATTGTTAACGGTAGTTCACTTAATCGAGGCCACTGAATCAAATGACAAGAAAACAAATTTATATGTATCAGTTTGATTAGTTTAATAGTTGCAAATTGATTAACCAATTTATAAACCTATAATGTCAGAAGATAGTTGTCTGCATTAAAAGTGTGTTGAGCCACCAGGAGACACTGTTAACCACAGTTTCACTTTAATCCTGTCCAGGTAAACATGGCCGAGACAGACGTCACCAGGATGTCTTCAGATTACGCTGACAATGAGCTGGAGCTGTTTGGGAAAACAGTGAGTTTATTTCACAGAAGGAAGCATCATTTTGTAGAGACTTTTCATTCAGTGCCTTTTAAACAACAGCTGTCAATTCGTTCTTCTTTTTTTTAGGTGAGGCAATAACAGAAATCTGCTGACTCCGGTCTTGCCCAGTAGTAGTACTGCTGTTTACACTAAGTGAGCGGAAACATAGAAACCCCTGTAAATTGTAATGCAATAAGTAAAAGTAGTGTGCAGACAGGGCTGAGTGGCAGCAGGTGCTAGGAAAATCTTTGGTCAAAGCACCGGGGAGAGTAGAACTTAAACTATTTTCTATTATTTTATTTTAGTTCTAAAAACCCATATTTATGGCAATGAGACACGTGTCAGCAACAATCAGTGTTGAGCCTCTCGCCTGTTTTTCCCCACTAGAAAGTGTGTCAACTAACTCAAGCTGTTCTGATTCAGATGGACCTGATTGTGGGCTCTGAGAATGGCAAGGCATCCTCTACTGACATCCTGAACAGCGCCGACACCCTGACCACTAAAAAGCTGAAGAAGAGCGAGACAGAACACCTCCTGAACAGACTCGTGCATGACAAGTGGCTGAATGAGGTAAAACACAGTATCTCAATCAAAATCTCAAAGTCAACTTTCACTTGGCTCGATTTTTTTTCCTAAGCTGCAAGAGCTTTTTGGGTTGGCAGAAAGGTACACTTTTGAGAGCGACTGAAGCACTTTCATGAAGCAAGTTCAAATTAATCAGGTTATTTTCGCTACACTAAGCTAATCAGCTGCTGACTGTAGCTTCATTTTTAACGTACAGATACAAGAGTCAATGTTGTCATCTAACTCAGCAAGATAATTATTAACAAAAAAAAGGCAATTTCCAAAATGTCCAACTATTCCTTGAGCACTGATGATGACGATTATCAAATCACAGAAAAGTAATAGTTAAAACAGTTTAACACTAATAATCATATTGCATTTGTAATGTAGCAGATTAAATCACATTCACTACAAAGTCTACCAGCCAGACGATATGTGACCGGTCTCTTTGCTGTTGTACCTAACTACTTCTTCCTCCTTCTTTGTCGCTCTATTTTGTGTGTAATTTTTTGTGTGATTTCTGTTTATTGATTTAGAAACGGGGTGAATACACTTTGTCAACCAGATGTATCATAGAGATGGAGCCATACATCCGCACAATGTATCAGGACCAGGTCAAAGTGTGCCACATCTGTCACAACATCGCTTTCCAGGTAAATGTTTCCTCTGTTTCGCTGTTGTGCATAAACTTTGCCACCCTTACACCCATGTGACAGCCTGGGAACCAGATGAATCTGCAGAGGTCACGTTTCATTTTCTATGGCGTGAGGTCTGGTCCCCTTCCCATTCAGACAGATTTCCACCCAAAGTGGATCCGTTGGGGCTAATCACAACCGTTTATCTAATACGGGTTTGATACCATAACTGACAGAGGAGCATCACTGGTCTATTCTGCTGGTCCGTCTAGCGCAGTGCACCAAGCTCACGAAACTCAGATCAAACTACCAAACTAGGCAGTGCTGATTAAATATGAATCATGTTCAGACGTTTTCAGAAACACATTTTAGTGTACTGTTGAGCTGTAATTTGAGAAAGTTTTTTTCCCTGCTTGGAACTAAGTTGAAATGCTGTACCTTACTGGCGAGGACAATTATTTTTTTTTTTTGAAGGTAAGCTACTGCAGTTGCATTATTACATTTATAATTGTTACTGAGAAAAGTATCCGTACCAGCAATTTTGTAATTGAAAGGCAATGACATTTGGTTGTGACGGTTTTAATTAAATGAATTGAATAAACTAGTTGTACTATTTGAAGCCGTCTGGATATCAGCAAATTAGGCTGAAGGTGATTTATTTTTTTCTGTCAGTTCTATTAAGTTTTTTCTTCCTCTGTTGTGTTGAGTTGTTTGAACTGCATTGGTTACTTTTGTAAACGGTGAATATAATTTTTAATTTGGTTCACAGGCCTTATCTATTCTAAGTGAGGTTTTCACAGTATCAATCTGATCTGATTGCTACTTTTTTTTTTCCTTTCAGTGCCAAATTTGTGAGAATCCTACTTGTGGCATAAAAATACACAACCCATGTGTGGCCAGATACTTCAAAGGAAGAGCAGAGCCGCGGTGTCCAGCTTGTGATGACTTCTGGCCGCATGAAATCCCTGGTATTTATTGTTCACTTGTAGATGTTTGCACGTAAATTAGACCTAAAATAATTATATAGATGCATGCTTTTTACCACGTACAGTACTTAAATAAACCTGCCTCCTTCATACCCATTCTCAGGATATATTGCTTTTCAAGAAAAATATTTGGAATTCTGTGGTACAATATAATGACCGAATGCTTGACTTGTTTCTATAAGATGTATTCATGAAAAAAGACTACACACGACCATTACAAATATGTTGCCCTTTGTGTTGTCTGTTTTTTGTTTTGTGTTTTTTTTAAACCACACAGTAAATTAGGATTGCTTTAGTTTAGATGAATGAATACAGTAATAAAGTGTGAGTATGCTTGTATGTTTGACGTATTATTTGTTGTGTTCATTACAGAAGTCAGACGGCCCCACTCTCAGTCCAGAAGATGAGGACTTCAGCATCAAATGTGTTTTTTATTTGCTAAAACTGTTTAATATTTTTATTGTAACTTTATAATAAACCAAACTGTTGATATGCTCTCAATATTTCACTAGGGTTATTTTTACAAAATAAATGAGAATGTGTTTCACTGAAATGTCTTTATTATATTTATTTACATACAATCGTCATCAAAAAACAAAACCAATGCACCTTCTAATCATGCTAAATCTACATCTACAATATAATAAAGCTTCTGAAAATGTTCTATAAAAATATTTTTGTTGACAGTTTTTGTTTTATATCTGCAGAAATACATCGTGATTCATTTAATTATCTCTGCCTAGATTCTTGATCTGACTAATCAGGTCTTGTCAACACAACATTAATAGATTTACCAGTCTAGAGGAAACAACATATTATGAAGTCTGCTATGAAAACACATTTTCTCATAAAGTCGAAAGTTAGCTTTGCATGCTGTATAATTCATAGGTTACTTTAATAGTCCTGTGTTTAAATGTAATTGTGCACATTACAATGGAAACACATTTCCACCCATCTTAAGACAAGACATTCTTCACATTTTCTGGGCCATAGTATGTTTAATTTCATAATACCTCAACTATCCAAATATACATAACTTTGAGTCTTTGTTGCTGAATTCCAAATTGTGTCTTCTATAATCTTGTAATGACAATATTTACCACAAAGTCCCTGTGCAGTAACAACACTGTCACCTGAGCATACACCAAACCCAGAGCACTTTGGACAATGTCACGTGTTGGCAGCCCGTCTGTTAAGATCCCTCAAGTTCAGAATTAAAGGTATACAACATGCTGTGTTAGATGTTTTTTTACAAAGTGTCTGTATGCAAAAACTCAACTTGTTTAGTTAAAACTATTATTACACCTTGCCTTTGTTCAAACCGTTCAAAACCCAATGATATTCAGTTTACTATAATGTAAGTCAAAGAAAGGCAGAACATTCTTATATTTAAGAAGCTGAAACTATCATATAGCAAAAGAAACATATAAACAAAGTAAAAAAAAAAAAACAAAGTGCAGTGTAAAAGACAATTAAGCAAGGCAACTCTCATTGTAAGTGTGTCAACAGTTTCATTTCTGATTTACACCTCTGCTGAGTCCTAATTCTGCCAGACCAAAACGCTGGTTAGAGAGAGAAAGCTGAACAAATGTCAGTGAAACCAAACACCCAAACATATCAGACATACATTAATGGCATTGTTTACATACTCTGCCGTTGTATGTGACCAACAACAGTTAGATTTTTGTTACATTCTCCCTTGAAAAAAAAAAGTGCAGTGACTTTAAAGTATGTTTGCCTGCGAGGAGTCCTGCTCTATTATCCTCAGGCTGACGATGAACTTGATAGCTCTTCTAAACCACGGATAGAAAAAAGCATATATGAGTGGGTTCAAACAAGAATTTAAATACAACAGCCAGGATACAATGGCCCAAGATGAAGCACTGTTTGAGGTGTCTTGTCCTGTGAGGGAGGGGTAGTAATACGGACAGAAAGTCATCAAAAACACCAGTATGACAAGACCCAGAGTCCTGGCTGCTTTTTTCTCTGATTTCTTTGCAGTGACTTTACCTCTACCGTCTGCAATAGCTGTAATATGAGACTGCATGGCCCGAGCCTGAGACACTGCCTCAATAAACACTCTTATGTACAGAATGATGATGACAGAGCAGGGGCCCATAAACGTGAACACAAGGTCGACAGTCCCCGAGATGTAGTTAATCACCACCAAACACTCCCCATAGCAGGAGTTGTGTCTGTCTGGCTGCCTGAGATGCTCCTTTAAGATAAGCCCGTTGTAGAGAAATGAGCAGGCCCAGCAAAGACACACCAACACCTCCACCCTGCTGCGGGTGATTTTGTTGGGATACTGCAGAGGATAACAAATAGCTACATAGCGATCGATCGATATGAGCACCATGTTGCCCACAGAGGTTGAGGTGAGAGTGAAGCCGATAATGTAAGACAGAGCGCACATGAGGTCGCCCAGCAGCCAGCAGGTTTCGATGAACCGCACCGTCTCCACCGGCATCACCAGCAGCCCAACAAGGAGGTCTGAGATGGCCAGGGAGAGCAGGAGCACGTTGGTGGGGGTATGGAGCTGTCTGAAGTGGGAGATGGAGATGATAACCAGCAGGTTGAGAGCTACGGTGAGCACGGTGACGGAGGAGAGCAGCGCGTAGAGGAGGACGGCCTCAGAGCGAGGACGCAGCACACCCCTGCAGGACGAGTTCGGGAACTGAGGGTAGCAGAGTTCGGCTCCCTGCAGGCCGTCCATCACCGAGGACGGAGGGGAGACGACAACCTGAACCTGCTGAGCACCAGCAGCTGTCGTATGAGACACAGGGAAGCTCACTTATCTCTGACCGCACTCCTCTAATAGGCTAATAGGTTGTTATTGTCATTATATACCTCAATTCTTTCATTTCTCCTCATATCTCCTTTTCCTCACCTCTCCCTTGCTTATTCCACCCTCCCTCCTCCCCTTTAATCCCAGTGTTACATGATGCAACATATTAGTTAATATGTTGCATCATGTATTAAACTTTTCTCCAAACTTACAACAAACCTCCACATGTACAAGGATGAGCTCAAAGCCCCTGTGCTGAACTGCAGGCTATTCTGACTGACTTGGTGTGGCGATGCTTACTTCTGCAGTTCTGTGTGGGTTTCAGTAGTGCTGGAACAATTAGTTAATTTGTCCAATGACAGAAAAATAAAAATAATCAGCAACAATTGTTATGATACTGTAAAGCTTTAATTAAAAGCAGAGTCTCTATTAAAGGCCTCTCCCTTTTACTGGCCGGGTGTGGCAACATGCTTTAATAAATAAACGCAGCTTTCAATCAGACGCCTGGTCTGATTTTTATAGAAGTTCTTTGGATGGGTAAAACCTCTTAAAGCCCACTGGGTCACGTACTAGTTCTAAGCTGCTTAGACATATACACAAATATAAATGTTAAAATGTTTGCCAATATGAACATGCTACACATCATCAGATCACTTAGATTGTCCACAATTCAACTGTATACTTCATTTTTCGGAACTTTCAGATTTACCGGCACAGAAATGAATTAAAGGCCTGTCCCAAATATAGGCAGGGAGTTCAGTGATTTAAGCAATTTAAAGCCTGGGCTATTAATTGAAGTTTTACTGTAATTTTTTTATGTCATTAATTGACTAACAGGATTTGCTGCTTTTTTTGTGTTTTCTGTCGTCATTCTTTGAAAATGTTTGGCTTTTAGACCTTCTGTCAGACAAAATTTACAAACTGAAGATGTCAACTTGCCCACACAATTACAGTGGGCTTTGTTTTACAACTTAATTACATTTTATAGACTAAACAAGCAGTAAGTCCAAAAGATAATTGACAATGAAAGTAAGTGTTAGTTTAGGCCCTGGATGCCCCTGCTGGATGGGTTTTAACGCATCCAAGACCTCTTGGACACTGGCTAGGCTTTTTTACATTGGATTTGACAAAGGGCCACAGGCAGATTCCCCAATTTCTAGCACCTCATTGAGTGGGCCCTGTATCCTCATTCTGTGTATGCTGCTGCCTACTTGGATCTCATTATCATTGTGGTCACAGTCCTGAAGCCAACTTCTCTCCAGTGAACCATTCTGTCCTACATCAGTGGTAGTCTACATCATGTGGTCTTCTTCTCAGCAGCAGAGTCACAATACTGTAGTGAAGGACTGCTAGGGCGCTTTTTCGGTATTTTTGTTTGGAACAACCGACTGACTTCAAGATGGTCCACTTCAGTTTGCCTGACAGTGCCTTACTTAAGTTGTTGATTGGGGAAGAATTTGTGCAGTTTATGTATCTATCTGGGGCAGCAGAGGCAGTCCAACCACAGCTGCAAGTAATTAGTAATCAGGACAATTATCTGTTTATCTGTTACAGAGCCACCGCAGCCTCAGGATGTGGAAAGAAACAGTTTACTGCCCCACTGTTAGTTTGGTTTTCCATCATCCCGTGTGTTTGCCTCTGCAGCTGTGTATGTAGGCCTTTCTCAGAGATGACATTTTCATATGTCACAGTAGGAAAAGCTCAAGTGTAAATTATACAGTTAATCATTCAGCAATGATTAATGCAGATTGCCATTTTGCTTCAGATCAGGGTCCTGCTATTGTGTATACTGGCTCACTGTCCCACTACTGCTCTCAGCTCCACAACAGTTAAATAAATCTGTTTATAATGTATCACTTACCTTTAAACCGTACTTTGGGTCAGAAGGGCTCTTCCTCTCCCAAAAAAACAAATGCCATCAAAATACATTTCACTTTATATTTGTGCCTTTGAGCTGGTTAGCAGCAGTGTTAATCTAAGTTGTAGTGGGTCATCCTGTACTTAGCACTGGTATGGCAGTTTCATGAATTAATGTCCTGTTATGAGTTGATATCAGCGTTATTTTGTGAAATGTGTCACCTCTCTTTCAGTGTGTTTCGGGGGCCCTTTTCGTATTTGTGCCTGTATGTTCAGCTTTCCAACAAGTTACAATCATGCTGTTAGATAGCAGGAAGTAGCATCTGCTCCTTTTCTACCTATCTAATGCACCTAATGTAGTTTTTCTTGAATTGAACTTGACATTTGTCCCATCTTCAGCTCAGCTGTTCACAAACTATTGCATTCATGTTGTCTGCCCCAGCTTTGGTCATGGCTTGCGTGTGTAAAGGGGGTATGGTTGCATCATATGTTGATGTTAAAATGTGTTTATTAACACCTTTGATTGAAACTCACCCGTGGTTTAATGTGTTAACAGACAGTATTACAACAACACGTCCCTCTGGTACACGACACACGGCTATCAACTATCGTGTCTGTTGTTTTTATGTTGAAACTAATGTATCCCCTGAGGTCCTGATGAGTTTAGTGAGTTCATGTTTGTCGGTCCTAAATAATCTCTATTTAAAAAACAATAAATTATCCTACACAGTGTATCATACATTAATTTAACAATTTATTTTAACCACTTAATTTAGCTTGGTTAACGTCAAATGATGTGGTTATTCTGAGATCCAGTCAGTAGTTTCTCTCCAGTCTCTTTTTAAAGAGTTTTTTTGTCAAAGACACGGGCAATGGACAGTTGCATAAAAGGAGGTTTTGTATTAAATTTTTTCTGTGAATGCCAGGAGATTCTGTGATGTTACAAAAATGTCAGAATGAAGTTTTACTCCACCGCGTATCAGAAGTCAAGCCTGCACCGACAAAATCGGGAACCAGAAAGTCAGTCTCTGCTGGAGCGGCCATGTTGCTAATCAGACACTAGATGGCCCTGTTGGTAAAGCAGTTGACATTGAATACTACAATAGTTTTGACAGCTTTTGCACTTTTCTCCTTGAAATACATGTGCATAAACATGGAATGCATGAAAAGGAATTTTTGCAATATGAACATTGGTATTTATGTTTGAATACTGTTACTTTAGGTTTTTTACAACATTTCCAGCTGCAAGGTACCCATGCCCATAGCAATACATTCTACAAGTCAGTAACTGCTGCTTACATTGTACTATTAGACAGAAAGTAGAGAGATAATCAATCAGAAAGATAAATTTTATTATGTCAAAATATATTGTTATTCAAGATGTGAAAATTAAGATGGATTAAAAAAAACATCGAATGAATGCACACAATAAAGCATAATTTTGTACTTTATTTGTTAAGAAAATAAAGATAATAATCAATAATATTGTAATGATGGTTACTGTGGTAAAAGACTATCCACATTACTTAGCACTTTACATAACACATTGCTTTATTACCATACCTCTTCAATTTCACTGATGTTCTTACTGATGTTTATAATTTTGAGTGCTGCAAAATAAACAATATCAAATAGTCAAAAATAGGAGAAGGAACTGCCAGCATGGACTCGGTTTCCTTTTAATATTGGTGTGAGCAATAAGGAGTGAGTGGTGAGAAGGAAACAGAATTAAATGGAGAGAGAGACGGATTTTTAGAGATCATGGATAGGTTACATTCTTCAGTGGGAAGAGGGCGATGTTGTTTAGAAGACGGGAGGGAGGACATGGACAGTTGGCTCTGTTGAGCCAGAGAAGAGGTGAATGTAGGTAGGATGGCAGAGGAGAGCTGAGCAAATGAAATGTTGCTGCTAATTAATATACTAACTTAATTAATTAGCTTAACTAATAACTTAATATTGGTTTTGTTTTCTTTGAAAAAAAAAGTCTTTGAGCTTTTCCTGTTATATGAAGAGTTACACAGTGTCTTCAGTGGGCATGAGCACTGAGATTACAATAAATAAATCAAAATACTCAGCGTGCTCTCACAGTAAATCTGTAATTATTTGTAGAAAATAAACAGAATGTTTAACATCAGATGTGTATGGAGTTGAGCAGACATAAGTCGAATACAGTAATGACCAGATAAAACTACACCAATGTCACTTACTCAAACAACATCAAACTGAACTAAAACATTAAAAGATGTGTATTATTTAGACAAAAATATAAATTTATCATAAATTTGGTTGTCACTTTTGATTTATATGAAAATGTGTGGTCTTCAATATTTATCAACCAAAGTTAATGTGAGAAAACAAAGCACTGTGCTTATATTGTTTATGGTGAACGCCAACATTAAAGTGTTGGGATATTGTTAGGGTTAGTGTTTCTGAGCGAAAGGGAAGTGCAGTAGCAAGTGGAGTCCTACATCAGGTGTTTTATAAATTTGACTGGAGGACTGAAAATTCAAAAACTTTTAGTAAGAGCTGTCTGTTTCTGTTGGTGGTATTATTAAATGAGATTTTCTGATCAGATCTGTTTCAGTAATTTATACCAGTTGCAAAAAATGAATGGAAACATTTTAATTTATTTCATCTTTAAAGATATAACTGTTGTTTGAATTTGATATTTTGGTCTCTCCCTTGAGCTTCTAATGTGAAAACTCACTTTGCCAATTGGAAACAATTTACCGCAAAATAGTTTTGGTGCTTCTGGGTAACTGGTAACTGTAGGAGCGGGGACTTTTCTCTTATAGTACATCCTTTTTAGACTTCTAAAACTAAGAAGTTACTAAAAAGCCATAAATGACAAAAAATTACAGTCTCATTTGGTTTTCGATTTTAGGTTGATTTGTTTGTTAATGCTTTTAATGGGACAACTATGGCCAGTGATTTCAGTTTTTCAGTTCAAAATATAAACAAGAATAATATCATCATTAATATTGCACAAACAGAATATTTTAATGTAAGACAAATAAATTAAAACACATATTACCACAGGTTTCACAAGCTGTGTCAACATACACATACTC